GGGAAAAAATTTAGTGCAATCAGTGGATATCCATTGACTTGACAACCCAAGCTAGTATATGATATTGTTAGGAGTAACACTTGAAGCTCTTTTCTGGACTGAGCAGTTTCAGTCATATTTAGGGCTGCTTATAAAACAAAATGACTGGGTGTATAACAGAAGTTAGTGAGGGTCTCTGCTTATGCAGCTATGTTTGGAAAAACCCAGAAGCTATTCTAATAGTCAACAAACATATACTGAGGGTCAAAACTAGCCATTAGGGTACAGGGGAGGTTGTCTTTACAAGGGAAAGATTTAAAGGTGACATTATACCTGACCAGACTGTGATTAAACATAAACAGTTTGAGTATTCTGACCTTCTTCTTCTTCTTCTTTTTGCCTGTTCTTAGGTATGACATCTGCACCTACAAGAACAAACCTTGTGGTACCTTAGGTGAGTGAAAAAGGCTGATATAAATTTCATATATGTTAAATTAGGGTTCCTTTGTAATCTTATGTGATGCTGACTACATTAAATGTCTAGTTTTGGAGTTTATCCTTTCCTGCTCTTTGGAGAGGTTTTTATTTTCCCATTCAACGTGTCCTCAAGAAAACCTTATTTAGCAGCCGTCGCAATCTTGTGTAGAAGAACACAAATCCGACAAATCCGGTGAGACATAATAAGAAGGATATTTTCCATTGTGTTATTATAGCTCCTTAGTGGCTTCTCCTCTGTTTGTTGAGGCCAGGAGCCCTGAACCTGGACAGCTGTGGTCACCTCTAGTTTATAAATCTCCTCTGTCTCTGTCCTCTGCCTCCAACCTCAGTTTGTCTAAAGTGTTTACACTTCCACTGGGGGTTGAAAGGGAGAAAGGAAGTGCAGGAAAGTTAAGGAGGGCAAAGACTTAAAAGGGGGGAGGAGAAATGTGGGATGAAGAAGAGACGAGATTAGTGGCAGATGGGGGAGATGGAGAAGAAGAAGAGGAGGGGTTGAAAGGAAAATGGAAAAGGACAATTATAGGGGGTGTTAGAGTATGCAGGAGGGAGATGGAGTGGGTGATATGCACGCTCTGGTGTTACTGGGGGTGGAAAAAGGACAGCAAGTGGTGGCAG